GGTTCAGGCAATTCTCCTGCCTCAGCCTCCTGAGTAGCTGGGATTACAGGCACGCACCACCATGCCCAGCTAATTTTTTGTATTTTTAGTAGAGACGGGGTTTCACCATGTGACCAGGATGGTCTCGATCTCTTGACCTCATGATCCACCCGCCTCGGCCTCCCAAGGTGCTGGGATTACAGGCTTGAGCCACCGCGCCCGGCTCACAAGATTATTAAGAGGGGCGTGGTGCGGTGGCTCATGCCTATAATCCCAGCACTTTGGGGAGGCCAAGGTGGGTGGATCACCTGAGGTCAGAAGTTCAAGACCAGCCTGACCAACATGAAGAAACCCTATCTCTACTACAAATACAACAAATTAGCTGGGCGTGGTGGCGGATGCCTGTAATTCCAGCTACTTGGGAGCCTGAAGCAGGAGAATCGCTTGAACCCAGGAGGCAGAGGCTGCAGTGAGCTGAGACCATGCCATTGCACTGCAGACTGGGTAACAAGTGTGAAACTCTGTTTCAGAGAAAAAAAATTAGCTGGGCTGGTGGCGCATGCCTGTAATCCCAGCTACTCAGGAGGCTGAGGAGAATTGCTTGAACCTGGGAAGCGGAGGTTGCAGTAAGCTGAGATCACACCATTGCACTCCAGCCTGGGCAACAAGAGTGAAATTCTGTCCCAAAAAGAAAATTATTATATATATATTATATAATATAATATATTATATATATATTATATTATATATTATATATTATATATATTTATATTATATAATATATAATATATATATTTATTATATATATAATATATATAATATATATTATATTATATTATATATTTATATTATATAATATATATTATATATAATATATATTATATAATATATATATATATAATATATATATTGTTTTTAGAGACGGGGTTTCACCATGTTGACCAGGATGGTCTCGATCTCTTGACCTCGTCATCCGCCCGCCTCGGCCTCCCAAAATGCTGGGATTACAGGCGTGAGCCACTGTGCCCAGTCAAAAAAAGATTATGAAGAGGATGCAGGATCGCTTGAGCCCAGAAGTTCAAACATAGTGAGACTCATCTCTATATTCAAAATAAAAGAAAAAAGGAAAAAAAGGATGCAGTTAACCAGGTGTGATGGCAGGGATCTGTAAGCCCAGCTACTCAGGAGGCTGAGGCAGGAGAATCACTTGAACTTGGGAGGTGGAGGTTGCAGTGAGCCGAGATCATGCCACTGCACTCCAACCTGGGCAACAGAGCGAGACTCGATCTCAAAAAAAACAAAAAAATTGGATGCAGTGAAATAAGGTCAGAGCCTGTGCCAGAAGAGTTGTCAGTCACTCCCGTTCCCACCCCACCCCGCACTGTACCCTGCGTCACCTACCCCCTGCCTGTAGGCCCTAGACTTCGAGTCTGGAGGATGCCTACAACAACAAAAGGAAAGGCTTGGAGTGGGCAGATGGCATGGAGTCAGAGCACACAGACCCAGAGGGTGGCTTCCTCTGCCCAGTCTGTTACCCCTCCACCTCCCACATACATACCAGCAGCCCCTGGGCAGGGAAGGGCTGGGTACCAGCAGCTCCAGATAGGGGAGGGCCTTGAACTCATCCTCTCCGACAGCCACATAGTAATGGCCACTTACCAGCTCCTCCCCTGCTGACAGTGGGAGCCCCTCCAGGGTGCAGAGTCTGGGAGAGAGAGGTAAGCAGGATAAGGGCTGGTAGATGCAATGCTCCTTCACATTCAGCAGACTGAGGGGTGAGTGCAGCTATTCCAAGGTGCCCTCTGGCCTCGGCACCAGTCACCCAGGCTCTACCCTGCCTCTGAGGGCTGGGCAGAGGGGCCTCTCTCCCTGTGACATAGGAAGTCCCATGTAGGCGAATGTGCTTTCCTTTTGCCCCTTCACCCTCAGCCACAGCTGAAGCCAGTGGGGAGGCTCTGTTTGGGGACTGTTGAGCCCTCCCAGCCCCCACACTCACTTGCATGCAGCCCCATTCTGCAACTGGACCTTCTCAGTCAGGAGCTTCAACACAGTTTCCCAATCCTGGCTGGCAGTCCGGGGCAGCTTCACACTAAATGGGGGACTTACCAGATCCCCATTCCTGAACACACTGAGACAAAAAGCCTGGTAAGGGGGAGTGTCCCCAGGAGTCCCTACATGTGAGGCGAAGGGTGGCACAAGTCCAGCAATAACCATAACGCTGGTGTCTGTTCACCCATCAAACATGCTGGACTTCTATATTCCCAACAGTAACCAGAGACTCCTGGAACAAACCCAACACCATTTTCTTGGTCTCACTAAAAAATGCATCCCTGCTCCCTGACACTGGCACTCACTGGATGTAGCAGGGAGCACCTGCAGGCAGCCGCAGTCCAAGAGGCCCATCACGCAGGTGGTGAGTCACCGGAGAACCCTGAAACCCAAGTCAGGCCTCCAAATCAGGAGAGTTGGGGCCTTTGGTTAGGGGTGGCTCTGTCCAAAGTGTGGACTGAGGGGGCTGGAACCAGACTGGGGCAGGAAGTGGGTGAGGAGGGATGAGACAGGTCACACCTTTTACCAAAAGTTGCTTCTATGTTCCCTAAGTTACATTCTAGCCACTCCCTATCTCCATCTGTGTTTCACAGCTTCCTCTTACCTTTGGACCACAATTTGGAGATAAAGTCAAAGCTTCTTGGACAGAAGCAAGAGATAGCATCTTGAAATCCCACACTCCAGGAAGGATAGCAGCTGGCTCCAAAGTACCCCCCATAGAACTGGCAGATCTTGCTGTTTCCCTGGCTTCCCACACCAAATTGGGGGCAGTTCCGGGAGGAATGGGAAGACAGAGGGGCTGGGGGACATGTCCCCAGGACTCACTTGTAGTCTGCAGCTCTTCCCACCTGGATCCTTCCCTCCATGGGGTAAATAGCTGAAAGGACAGATAGGTCACAGGTCATCTCGCAGAGCCTGAGGCCTCAACAGTCTGGCAAATGTCAGTATTGGGCTGGGGTATAGCTCACCAGATATCCCTCCCCATGGAAAAGTGGCAATCATCTCAGTCCAGAAGCATACACCGGCACTTGAACCTGTCCTAGGACTCCCTCAGTGCTCAAGTGCTGCCGGGGCAAGTGCTGGGTAAGTCTGGAAATCCAGACCAGGGTCTCAATACTAACCATGAGATTAAAGGTCAAGGGCATGGCAGCTCACACCTGTAATCCCAGCTCTATGGGATGCTGAGGCAGGAAGATAACTTGAGCCCAAGAGTTTGAGATCAGCCTGGGCAACCTCATTGCTAGCAAAAGCAAACATTAGCCAGGCATGGTGGCATGCATCTGTGGTCCTAGCTACTTTGGAGGCTGAGGCAGGAGGATTGCATGAGGTCAGGAGTTCGAGGCTGCAGTGGGTGATCGTGTCACTGCACTGCACTCTAGCCTGGGTAACAGAGCAAGACCCTGTCTTAAAAAAAAAAAAAAAAAAATGAGAAACTAGAAACTAGTGCATTATGGATTCTGCTATATCTCAAGAATATTTTCGTTCATGAAATAGGTCATTTTATCTCCATTTATGAGACTCCAGGAAATTAAGTGACTTGCCCAAAGTCACATAAGAAATAAGGGATGAAGCCTAGATTGTAAGTCTACCTAGCTTTGCACACTCCACCCACCTTTTTTTTTTTTTTTTTTT